CAAGATTTCAGTTATTGCAATTGCTCAAAGAGCTGACTACATCAAGCCAGAACTGTACAGAACTGTCTTTCACTGTCGCTATGGGTCAAGACAAAATGTTTGAACTTCCTACATGGTTTCCCTCGTGATCGGTGCAGTCTCTTCAGTGCCGGTGAAGCTTGCCGAATATACACACGGGCCAATCTTTGAGCCCTTATAACTCCCTAACCAGGCCGTTTTCTGACCTAATAGTGTCAGATATGGTATCCACAGGTGTCCTGATTGCACAAGTACGGGGTTCAGGTCACGTCCAAGCCCGGAGTTTGTCCACAAGTAGCTAACCCTTGTGAAATATTCGAAGATAGCGTTTAGACATGCACGCAGCTATGTGTATCTTGCTCCAACACTCACTTTTCAGTAGCCAATCCAAATGCTCAGAAGAGCTGGAATACAGTTGCTCAGAAGTTAGGAGGTGAGAAAATAAGTGGGAACTGCGCGTTTACCCCATTCAATCCATTCAAGTACTGTGCAATACGTAGAGCAGCACACAGTATATGCGCAGGATATATTTGCCATTTGGTGAGTCACTGCTACCGCTAAATGGATATTGTCAACAGTATTGCATCCCTCTTCTATATGAATGATCCAGATGTATTATGTTTGGATAGTTAGTTTATCTGCAGATCACTATTTGCTTCCCATGTAAATATAAACACTTACCTAGTAAGAGTGAAGGTCATTTACTAGTGCAATCAGCCGAGATGCAGCCGCTTGATAGCTCCTCTATAATGTACGTTGCTTCCGTGAATAAATCCATTTTGTTTCGCCATGGACGTGACGCCTGCACAATATTTACAAATGAAATATATTTCTGTTGGTCTACCTCTGCCGATACCACACCTTTAGGCCGATAAAAGTTTCCAAGCTCCCGTCATCAAAAGAGAACAGCGGCGGGTGAGTTGGTTCTGAATAGAGATTAATTAATTGCATGAGTAGTACTAGTGGTTTCAAAAATGACAGAACTCCGTTGTAGGAAGCCACGACCTTATTCGCGTGAAAGTCCAGTGGAAATTCCCAAGGAGTACTGTGAGACGTACGTCGTCCGTAAACCGATGGGGGCACGGATACATAAAAGTGATTGTCGAGTAAGTGCTATTGCAAATATAAAGAAATGGAAGCTAGGCTCCGATTACGTAGCAATGGGGATAAAATTCCAAAAGAGTACGACCTATGTTGCGAACTGAATGGATATGTCATCCTTCCAACATCCACCCTAATGTCTCTCCATCGGGGGACTATGAATTACCAAATTAGTTAGTCACGAATATCATCTATACCAATAATTGGTGAGCCTTCCACTGGTTGTTGTCAGGTTTCTGTGGCTTTTCAACAAGGAGTAAGATGGTGAAAAACCCGCTGTGCAAGAATCCATACAATTCTACGAGAATCCGTCGGGAGTTGTCTCCAGCAGCATGCTGCTTGAAACTTCCGCTCCGTTGAATTTAACTAGGATTAGTAGAGTACTACATCTCAATGCCATCGCTCAGGGGCCTGATACGAACTCCTAATTCGACTGACAATGAGGCGACCGTTTGCTGTTAGTACCGCACCGTCGCAGGGTCCGTTACTATTTCATCATCTCAATTTCCTTTGATCTGAGGCATCTTTTACCACGGGC